AAATGTCACAAAAAAGCGAATCATCTCGGCAGTTGGCAGTTCTCCTCAAACAAGATAATCGGATAGCCCATATACAATTGTCTGTAAGTACCGAGCGCCACCTGCGAACTGATCCTTGCGTAGACCGGGACATTTCGGTACGGCAGATACAGGATCACCCTTGGTTCCTATTCGGTGGTGCTTACGGAATCCGATTGCTGTGAGAATAAGTACCGCACATGGTTCCTGCACTGGAAGTTGAGAGATGCATCGGACTCCTGTATTATTCAATCGCGGTTGCGAGCAGACGCAGCCGAACAGCAAGCAAGATAGAGGTTGCAGAGGAATCAGATAGGAGATGTGCTGGTGGCCGACGTTATACGTCGTTCATAAACATCGACGTGCACGTGGTCACCGTCCCGGGTGAATAGATGAAGTTTCAAGGGCTGGATTTGCACAAGTGTGTCTCAAAACGTTCGCGGAATAAGGCGTCCCGGCTGCATAATCAACGCGGAAACCAATGTGGCATTCAAGTGTTTTTCATTGTAACTTTCATGGATGCATGTTGACTGTTACTTCCAGGTTGCCGAAGTTTGGGCTGGAGCGCAGTCTGGCCTACCAACGGCCGTTTTGGGCTAGAGAGCCGGACTGCAGCGCAAATGTGGTGGAATGCACTATTTTTTCAGGGATTTCGCAGTCATTCTGATTTCCATATTAAGGGATAAATGGGCATTCACGCGCTCAATAGGTCGAAAAAATCCTGGTGGTTTGTGCTTAGATGCTGCACAGTATGCCTTGATTGGCTTGGAGGTTGCCAGACAGCTGCAAAACAACAAGTTTCGGCCACCTTGCGATACATCACCACAGCGAGCAACTTAGCACTGGTATATGAACCTTGATTTACCGGTTCTTATCAAGGATCCAGCCAGGTCCCGCGTCTGTGGTAACTTCTTAAAATAAACCGTTTTGTCATATGGCACTTGCAAATTCAACGGCGACCTACAATGTGGTAGGCTGGTGTAGGTGTTTAAGGATTATCTGGAGCACGCATTGCAAACATGTTGAGTTTTTATTAAAAATAACTAGCAATAGGTCCAAAGTGAATGCACCTTCTGCCTAAATTCCACAGAGGATTCAGCGCTGTTAAAAGTGTGCTTCACCGCCGAACAAGCTTTATGTTCAGCCGACCTATGGCTAACCGGTGCTTGAGTACGCTAACTAAATTGTCCTTTCAGGACGCAAGAAATACGCAAATCTAACACCTTGATTTACCGGTTTTTATCCAGGATCCAGCCAGGACCCGCGTCTGTGGTGACTTCCTAAAATTAACCGTTTAGTCATATAGCACTTGCATATTCAACGCCGACCTACAATGTGGTAGGCTCGTGTAGATGTTTAAGGATTATCTGGAGCACGTATTGCAAACATGTCGAGTTTTTATTAAAAATAACTAGCACTAGGTCCAAAGTGAATGCACCTTCTGCCTAAATTCCACAGAGGATTCAGCGCTGTTAAAAGTGTGCTTCACCGCCGAACAAGCTTTATGTTCAGCCGACCTATGGCTAACCGGTGCTTGAGTACGCTAACTAAATTGTCCTTTCAGGACGCAAGAAATACGCAAATCTAATGAGCGCATCCCACCTGGTGCTTCGAAAATGGTCCCCGGACTTAAACCATGGAATATGAAACGCGTCTCGGGGTACTCGGCCTTGTTCTCACGGAATATCATCTCCTAATACCTACTCGCCCCCTGTTTGGACAGGGTTCGGCCAACAGGATTTACCGTTGACCCAACTAGTGCACGACCAAGACCTGGTAGGAAGATTTTCTAGCTCATATCCCACACCCTTATTGGGACACAGTTTTTCTGATTTTGGTTAGCTGTAGCGCGGAGTAAACTTCATCTGACGGTTGTCTACGGCCTCATCTATACCCTGCTCAAAGCACTTAAACGCCATTTTATTCGAGTTCTCGCACTGAGAGCAGTGCGACACCATTTTTGCCCTCGTGCATTGCCCTTGTGAACGGAAGCCGCTAAATAAAAAGAACAAACCCGACCAGGAAAGGCTTCGTGAAAGCGTCGATCCCGTGTATCAACCCATGAATCCGTGATCCTGTTGAACCTATTGTTTAAGTGCGCTAATTCATCCGCCCTGGACGTTGTTGGTTTCGTTCTTCTGCCCGGCTCGCTATGCTGTCATCTAGAACGGCATTTGTCGCCGTCAGACAACTTCCAAAATGCCAGAAACTTGTAAGTCAACAGAGCAAATCATGAATGCCAATTTTTTTCCTATTTAATGTTCATATTTTTTCGTTATCACCTAGCATCCAATGAGGTCGTTAGTTTCTCTTCAGTCGCGTGGGGCAGTAAAAATGTTTGCTAAGTGCTGATCACTTTCGTACCGCTTGTCTAGTTAGAATTTAGCGTACTTGATAGACTTCAGAGACTAAATCGAATGCTGTTACTTTGCGAAAACACTTGAATTAGTAATCCGTTAGGACATGTATTTGCATGCTCCATTCGTACACGTACACGCACAGTACTGAAAACTTATCGATGTTGCTTCTTAATTGCGGCCTTTGCGGTGGAGACTCTAGGTGTGAGTGCATCCACTCATTCTTCTGAATCCTGGAAGTACGAATCGATATGCAGAAAGTACGGCTGTAACTTTTTCGGTGCCTACCTGTCGTGCCACCCGAAAAAAACATGACAACTGAGGTACTGCCAAGTTGCCTCTAACTCCATTCAAGATGCTGGGGTTGGTTCCGAACCGCGGACTTCCAGGCGAATGAGTTCATCCCCGTATCTCTGAGATGTCTGTGCTCCCCTGACAAAAGGTGATTGCGAGGTTTAAGCAACCTGGATATCAGGAGAAACCGGTTTCGCACGGTCTCAGTTACCTATTATGGTAGCTTTCACTCGGTCAGCTCTTGTGCGTGCTAGGTTTGTGTGCTTTATTTACACTACTGGAGAACTGTTCAAAATGCTTTTTATGGTTGATGGCTTATTGGTGCTTGTAGAAAGAGAAAGAAAGTGTTCAGCCGTAGCACCCTTCCGGTGCCTAGCTGCCATACCACCCGAAGGAAGCATGAGGGCTGGGATACTGCCAGGTTGCCCAAGCCTAAACGGGAAGTCGAGTGGCGGAGGTCGGATTCGAACCACGGGACCTTCCGGCAGTAAATTCGCGCTCTAACCACTTGGGCCATCTCGCCCCTGCTTGTACCCGGTGATGATTCAAATCTTGTACATAGAGGTCCTATGGTGGCATTCGAGAAAATTCACTGTCTTTTGGAAGCTACTCAAGACCAGTTTACATGTTCTTTAAACAGCTGCGAAAAATAGTTCGTATTCTTTCTGACTGCACTTTGTAGGTCTCTCGATATTTTAGAGATTCCTGGCCGTTAATTTGAAGTTCATTCTAAGAATATGCCACCGCTCCATCGATCGAATGTACTCGATTTCCACCTAGAACACTTAACAAACAGCTAGTACTTGTATAACTAGTCGACTTGATGGTGGCCCTTGAAGGTTCTATAATAGATTTATAATCGAGGACTAAACGAACATCCTTGTAGTGCCCTGCCGGCTACCATGAAGCTACAAAGTTGTCTGGGACCGTGGTTGCTGAGTGACCTGTTGAGTCTAGTTCCTAGTTTCAGTGAATTAACTAAGTATCAGCGTAATGTCTTCCGTTAGCCAACCACATACCTTAGTGATTAGCACCATTGGGCGCATAACGTTTCTGTTTGAGTGTATTTGCTCTTTGAATTCTTTCCATCTGATAATGGAGTCAGACAGCGTGTTTTTATTTTGGAAAAGAAAATGGGGACCACGATCTAGTCTCAAGGAAATGGTTCTCGCTATGGCGTTGCATGAACTGTGGCGAAAAGAATAACCACGAAATTAACCCACAGTCCGTGAGAATGGCATTTGTGGTTGGTAACCGTCCCTCATCGCGGTTTGCCTCTACAGTCTTCTCAGGTAGAATCGAATTTTGTGAGAGCTGACAAGCTGATTTAGCAGTGCCGTGATTTTTGTGAACTCATCCACGCCATTTAAGTAAGAGAAAAAAATCCGTATAAAACCCCCAGACATTGAATTTTTAACTGTGAACCGATTGACTTACTGATTCGCAGCTCAGTAAAGGGGCCTTTATTCTGGGTCCCCTATATAATTGGGTAGCCTATATTCACTCCTGGAAGATAGGCGTATCCCATGGATGTGAAGCATTGTAGCTACCCATGGCTAACCATCAGGCGCAAGGCATACATGAGTTGTTCCGTATCATTTTTGATTTCAGAAATGCAAGGCATACATGAGTTGTTGTTCCGTATCATTTTTGATTTCAGAAACCACGGACAGACTGGAGATGGGGATAGACAACCAGGTCCTCAGTTGTCTCCCATCGGAATTGAATCGTGAATTTTTTCAGGTTCATTCGGGTTGAGTTCTTGCCACCCACTGGTGACTGAAGACGTCAGATTGCTTCGTGGCAGATCCGATTATCTCATTTCTTTGTAGATTTGATTGTAGGACGCCAATGATTGAACACTTTCCGTTTTCTCATACCCGGGTACAGTGGTGGCCAATTCATGCATCCGGTCACACGGGGACTTGATACGTCCTTGCTTTAGAAGGAAGGCTAGCCCGGGCACGATTTGGAGACCGATTGGGTATGTCCCACATACCGCTGCCGACTGCGTACTGTCCGACTTAGATAAAAATAGTCCCATTTGTGGGTCCATTTGTGAATCACCCAAATGCTTACCAATGAGTTAATCATAGCCATACGCGTCAACGCGAGCAACGGTTGTAATGTTTCCGAGCGCACACGAGACCACTGGATTTCAGATCGGTCATTATCACATTTCGAAGCAAAGTGCTCAGTTCCCCCCGGGCCAAATTCGGTTAGGCGATCGATTAGGTGACAACCTCTATGTGTACAGAAAGGCGTTGTGGGACTAAAACGTCCAAGAAGTGGAAAAGGCTTGTGCGGTTGGGAATGCACGCAGGCTGGTCCAGCTAATACAGAAAACAGTACCCAACCGCCCTTTCGTGGGTAAGTTAATCGAAGGTTATAGTGGAAATTCGCGAAATACCCTCATTTGCACATTTATTTTTACGGAGGACTCGAATTCTAGGTGAATCTCTCCTTTGCGATATTTTTCAGCTATGTTGCAGAAACGCAGCCTCATGTCTTAGTACAATATTCGAGATGGAACATTTTTTCTCAAGTGAACCCCCCACAAGTTTAATGAAAACCTGCTAGTTTTCAGTAACCTTGTGAGTTGTTTAACTCAAGACAGTAGTGAAATTTTAATGTGATAATGGTCAGTCTAGGACGCTGGGGAGAATATATTCACCAACAGTTTAGTCGGCGAGGTGGTTCAGTGGTTAGGGCGTGAATTTACTGACCAAAAGGTCCGTGGTTCCAACCCGACCTCTGCCTTGACTTCTCGCGTCTAGGCTTGGGCAACCTGGTAGTATCCCAGCCCTCATGCTTCCTTCGGGTGGTATGGCAGCTAGGCACCGAAAGCGTGTTGCAGGTGACTGATTATCTTTTTTGTCTCTTGATTTCCCTTTGTTTACGTGTTTCATTCAATTCGATTACTTTGAGTCGTGGTCTAGGTGTGGACCCCTATTCAGCCAGTCCGGTTTTTCAACTTGCAAACTGCATCGAAGTACTTGGTTCCAGCTTCTACAGCTTCGTTCATCGAGGATGAGCCACGTGTTGGAGGCGATGTTCCAATCACCTCATTGACATAGAATGGTTCTGTTTGTCCGGTGCAGAAGAGCTGGGGAGCTACGTAGTTGAGCTTTGACCCAAGACCGCCATTGGCTGCGTGACACAGCCATATTTGTTAGGGTCGCTAACCATTGGTTTGCCTTGTCTCACCATCCGGGAAGAAGACATCAATGCTATCGAGTTGACTGATAAGGTCTTTCATGCTTCGTTGACAAGTCATGGGCCGGCCGCCCCTGGGTCGTCCCCATCCAAAGGACTTGGCGAAAAGAACTCTACGAGGCAAATGATCTACTGGTCTTAGTAGTATAATCTGTGGGATGTGACCAGTTGATATATCGAGGGAGAATGAAATTTCCCGGAAGCTATCTACTGTGCTTCAGCATTACTGATCCGTCACAAAAAGACTGAACTTTATTGTAGTGTGACCGTTTGTGTGCCTTCGTGACCCAGTGATCTTGGTGATGTCCGTGCGACACTCACACAGGCTCTCGTATCATCTGTCGTAATCCAGTGTTACTGATCCCACTCAATGCTTAGGAGGCTCCTATGGTCAAACGGAGTCTTCGAAGGTCTTTCACACACGATAACCATGCCTCTGATCCATAAAGTAGCACACCTGGGCCGCGGGATTGTGCGCCCTACTCTTGCCAGTGTCGCGTCGGCCCCACAAATGTTGGAGGTTGGCAAACGCCAGGCCACCTGCACTTATGCGGCTGTCCAGGTGAACAAACTTATATAAACTTTTAATCGATTCAACTGCAAGGGTTTGATTTAGGTTTGATTCTACCCAGTCTTGTAGCAGCATTTTACACCTTACAGGTAGCAAGCACATTCTGAACTGTGCAGCGGGGATTATTTAAAATAGTTTTCATTTTCAAAGAGCACAATCATCGACGTATTTGATATCCGTGGGCAAATGCCCATAAGGATTTCGACACCCGAGGTGTTTGAGGTAGGCAAAGAAAATTCAAGCTGCATATCGGTCGCGAAGTTGAAGATAAATGGCGGCAGACGACATCCTTGCCTAACACCACTGGACGTAGTGGACTAGGGAAAATTTGCCACAGATAAGTACGCACCCATAAAAAAAGGCATACGAAGCCTACAAAGGAAATAAGAACTTCGTCAGACACTGCTGACGGTCAACGGAGTCAAAAGCAGACTGGAGGTCGAGAAATTCAACAATTTGTCGTCGAATGGAGTGATACAATCACAACTCCTGCCCCACGGTAAAGATGCTATCGATGCAAACCGGATCAGGGCTAAACCCAGGTTGGTTCTCTCGGGGGGATATAAAGCCTTCATAAACAACGGGAATTTAGAAGGGGCACTCTTTAGTTGAACTACCTTTCTGCTTGAAGATTCCCCTTGCCCTGCTGAAAAATGGATGGGAATACTTATTATATAAAGCCTTCATAAACAACGGAAATTTAGAAGGGGCACTTTAGTTGAAGTACCTTTCTGCTTGAAGATTCCCCTTACCCTGCTGAAAAATGGATGGGAATACTTATGTTTCGCTTTGTCTGGTTTGTTCGTACGCATTTGAGAACAGGGAATTGTTCAGCTGAAGTGAGGCCAATGGTTTGTCGAAACGACTACTGTTGCGAGAATTGAACTGTTCCAGGTTGATATTAGAAGGAAGACACAATAGAGTGTCGTTTATAACGATAGTGCATGATCTGAAAATATGGTGGCAACTACTAGTTAGCGATATATGCAAAGCATGGTTTATGTAGTCATGACTAGTATCCAGACCGATTGTGCCAGCCAGTCTCAGGTCTGCTGGCTTCCCTCAAACTGCGTCGCCAATCGTCGGCGCAATACCGAGAGCACGAAGCAGGATTTCGATCTGACAGAGGATGCATGCTCAATATTTTAATGCAATGACGAGTTCCTAAACACTGACAAGACCGACCAACAAGCATGGTTTTGATGGTTTCAGTGATGTGAGAAAATTTGGTAGTTCTCGTGACCCGTGGCCTCACGGCCAGTAATTCAGCCACGAGCAGCTAAATAGCAGTATGATTAGCATTTAAACAGGATATGGCACCGTAATACTTCAGTCGTAGAAGCCACACACTGTATTAATCCTTGAGTGACGACTTCTCAGAAGACTGTTTTACTCATCTTGTGAAGTTATTCTTCCTCTAAACCACCTATCCACTAGTGGTAGTGTGAAGATATTTGATAGTTTTCAATTTTCACGGTTTTTATCGAGTTCAGTCCTATGGATAATAACACAGTAATAGATAATCGTTCAGCTGCAACACCCTTTCGGTGCCTAGCTGGCATGCCACCCGAAAGAAGCACGAGGGCTCGGGTACTGCCAGGTTGCCCAAGCATAGACAGGGGAACCCAGATGCAGAGGTCGGGTTCGAACCACGGACCATTCGCGCTCCAAACACTAAGCCATCTCATCATCCATTCCTATGGATAAAACAACTCCTGGCCAGAAAGAGTTTCTCTTGAAGTTCGTGAATGCGTGTTCTATATTTCCATACCTCTCGTCGGGTAAGGGTGTACAAGAAAATATCCTAGTTTCCCCACAGCCAGTGGAGTTCATCACTGCTGTCCTTTTTTGTTCAACATCATTGAAGTTATCATTGAGTGCATGTTCCAAGGAACCATGAGTAAACACATCATAAACAAGTATGAAGAAAGACTAACAGACATTTCTGTTAGGTGGTTATTTGTCCCCGCAAAGCACTTCAAACTGTCTGTCCGAGACAGTTCCATGTATTGTTATGAGTTCTGCACATTCGTGGTGCGAAGTTTTGCTTACAGATTTCCCGTTCTCTTGGATTTCTCTGGAACTTCAGGCTAAAGAGGACTTTCATTTATTGACCGGTTCACAAGTCCCGGCAGTTGCATCATCTGTAGCTGTCCCGTATTAGGTGAAATCGATCCGCCGCTAACGAATTCGCTGGCAGCATTCGGCAGCTCGTGTTGTTTATGTTGGAAACGAATTACGCCGAAGCGAAACAGCCGTATACACATCCCTTATTCTCACCCTGAGCGCTCCGAATCCCTTTTTGAAAATGTGATGGTGTGTATACAATATACTCAGACTGACCTCTTCTTGGGAGCGCTTCTCTTACCGTGTTACGTAGGAATTTGGGATAGCCATTTTGCTCACTCACTGGAAGCAATGTATTTTAAACTGGTTGTTGTTACCTAGACCACCACTGTTCGCATAATATTCCGTGTAGGCTGCAGCTGTTTTGCCGTTTCTTTTCTGTGCTAATTTTACATGCATGTACGTTTCAGGCAGCATGTTTAGTCAAGAATATGCCAAGGTTGTTGAGTACCAGCTCACAGCTTCGGGCAGGGACTCCAGAGTTCTCCAGCATTCTGGAAGAACGGATTTTGGGCCAGACAGTGCAGACGAACCTCGAGGAGACTGGGCGCGTTCTCAGTATTGGTGATGGTATCGCTCGTGTTTATGGTCTGAAGAATATCCAAGCGGAAGAGATGGTAGAATTTTCTTCTGGCCTCAAGGTGGGTAGTCTCTTGCGATTGTTTATTCCTTCAGGGTATGGCGCTCAACTTGGAAGCGGATAATGTCGGTGTCGTCGTATTTGGGAATGACAAACTGATCAAGGAGGGCGATGTTGTTAAACGCGCAGGTGCCATCGTGGATGTACCCGTCGGTGAAGAGCTTCTGGGACGTGTGGTTGATGCCCTTGGAACACCTATTGATGGACTTGGTGCGATCAACACAAAAGCGCGCCAGCGTGTTGGTGTCAAGGCACCTGGAATCATCCCTCGTATTTCAGTCCGCGAACCCATGCAAACTGGCATCAAAGCCGTTGATAGCTTGGTACCTATCGGACGTGGGCAGCGTGAGCTTATTATAGGTGATCGACAGGTACTCATGAACTCTTAAGTAACACATCTTTTAGACTGGAAAAACAGCTATTGCTATTGATACCATTATCAACCAGAAGCGGTTCAACGAATCTGCTGACGAGAAGAAAAAACTTTACTGTATATATGTCGCCATTGGACAGAAAAGGTCAACGGTTGCCCAACTGGTCAAACGCCTGACTGATGCAGACGCCATGAAATATACAATAATCGTCTCGGCAACTGCTTCGGATGCTGCGCCGCTACAATATCTGGCACCTTACTCTGGTTGTGCCATGGGAGAGTATTTCCGTGACAATGGAAAACATGCACTTATAATTTATGACGATTTGTCCAAGCAGGCCGTTGCCTATCGTCAAATGTCACTGCTGCTGCGACGACCCCCAGGACGAGAGGCATATCCTGGGGATGTGTTTTATTTGCATTCACGTTTGCTAGAACGTGCGGCGAAAATGAATGATGCTTACGGTGGTGGTTCCCTGACTGCCCTTCCTGTAATAGAAACTCAGGTGAGTCTTGGTACCTTCCTTGAACTTGTCCTCAGGCTGGTGATGTGTCTGCATATATCCCGACGAACGTCATTTCAATTACTGATGGACAAATTTTCTTGGAGACTGAGCTGTTCCACAAGGGTATCCGACCAGCTATCAATGTTGGACTATCTGTCAGTCGTGTCGGTTCTGCTGCACAGACTAAAGCCATGAAACAGGTTGCTGGCAGGATGAAATTAGAGTTGGCCCAATATCGTGAAGTCGCGGCTTTCGCTCAGTTCGGCTCAGATCTGGACGCCGCCACCCAGTTGCAGCTGAATCGTGGTGTTCGTCTGACAGAATTGCTAAAGCAAGGCCAATACGGTAGGTTGTCATTGCACCTCTTACCGTTTTCTTATAGTTCCCATGGCCATTGAGCAACAAGTTGTGGTCATTTATGCAGGCGTTCGCGGGTACCTCGACAAACTCGATCCTTCAAAGATCACCCAGTTTGAACAGGATTTCCTCAAATTCGTCCTAGCAAACCACCAGGATCTCCTAAAGACAATTCGCGAAGAAGGTGAATTAAAACCAGCAACAGACGAGAAGCTCAAGAAGATAGTTTTGGATTTCCTTGCCGGCTATCAACCGTAACCTCCGAACCTCTGCAATTTTAGACTTGGTAGGGCATTCTGTGTATCAAACCAACAACCCAAAGCTGAAATCAAAGTGCTTTCGAATAGTAGTTTATAAATATATCACGACAGTTACTTCGTTCTTAATAGATTTTGGCGGACTTGGTGTGGTACTGGTCTGCTTACGATCTGTTTTGTCCCATTGTAGTATCGTTCCATGGAAAACGTCTATGGAGTAGAAGGAACAGTCTCCTCATTATCTGCAACTATCAGCGTAACAGCAGATCCCCTACTCCCAGAAGACAGACACCCTCAAGTTTCGAAATCGGGAAACCGGTGTTCATGGTTTACGGTGTGATGGAGCTTCGTTTGGTTGTCACAAATATTCGAGCTCCCAATGAGGATGGAATAGCTGTACGGTGCTTCTAGGATTTTCACCATAGATTGAAATCTCAATTGAAAATCTCCGGATATCCTCACAATACCAATGGTTTTCAAACATAACCGTAATACCATGAACAACTAATTACCTGCACAAATTCTCGTCCTATAAACACCGTCAGGATCCACTTCCCCCTTAGGCTTCACTCGCTTGCTGCTACATCGGAAATATCTGCAACTGAGTTGGAATCCCTCCAGCATTTCGCTCAAGAGGATTTTGAGACTTCGGCCTCCCTTTCACTCAAGTTCAATAGTCGGTCATGTTTTTTCCAGGTTGAAGGGGAGCTATGAACATAAGTGGTGGCATGGTCAAACGACTTATGCGTCGTTTATTTCGTGTGCTTATAGAAGGAGACCTTTAGGCATATGTCAGCTCTTTTGTTGAATTTCTGTCTGGGTGGGGAATGTGTGAAATCCCTAATTTATGGGTGTATTTCACGTCTTTCCGAGTGAGGGCTTGTTCTCATGATTGATTTTCGACTCTCGGTCGAGTAGGTTGACTTCAGCGAGTACGTGACGAAAATATGAACAATTAGGTACTTACTAATAACTACAAATCGCTGGGGCATCAGATCAAACATTGCAGGTTAGGGTGATTGGGACGTATGCCCAACTACCCCACAAAAGAAAGCATTATTTTCCCTTCCAAGCCTCGACAGGTTCAAGCGGTGGACAGGCCATGTCGGCAACGTGAAATGGAATTGGCTATGGTCAAACTGAGTCTCTTGAGTTGCGTTTGCCGTTTCGTTGCCACCCACATGATCCTGCTTGCACGTGTTTGATAACCCTGCAGAACGTGATGCGCGACAGGTCCCGGTGGAGCGTATGCTATCATCTAACCGGACTACCCAGCTAGATTTCACCTGCCGTACGTTGGGCTATGTCGGGTGAAGTTTTTAAAGGAAGTTGAGTCGACTCCGCTGGTGGTGCCTCAGTTCGAAATGATCACGTGTGTTTACTGCCATCCAAAGGCACCATACTGACATAGAGCTTCACAATAAGTTCCCACCTTTCTGTTTTTACTGAAGCTTTTGCGTGTGATTGTTGCATAGCAGTTGGGCATTAGTACGCATTACTGATATGGTGCTTCCCATGGTGATTGCTAAGACGGTCGATTGCATTGGTTGCACCTAGCCTTTGACTAACTTCTGTCGAGATGGCTCAGTGGTTAGAGCGTGAATTTACCGACCCTTAGTTCCGTGGTTCGAACCAACCTGTCTCTCGACTTGCCCTGTCCAGGCTTGGGTAGCCTGGCATTATCCCGGCCCTCGTGATTCCTTAGGGTGGCATGGCAGTTAGGCACCGAGAAGGTGCTTCAGCTGAACGATTTCTCCATTGATGTCGAATGGAATGTTTCGTATGGACCTTTGAAATGTTCACCCTGGGATTCGTCAAATGTGTCCACTAGCTGCAGACTAGGTGGCAGCTGATTAGCTCTCAGAGCGTGTCAGTCGGCTGAGAGGGCGTCTCCGCATCCAGGCCATCTGAACCTCCACAACGACACTTGGTGCTCCTACAGCTAGGAGCTGGCTGGTACTGCGTCGCTTGACCGTTCGACATGAATTTTCTAAGACGAGCCCTAGCATCATCGAATCTCCAGCGGAATATATCGCGTAGTTGCATCCCCCTACGTAGACTTTGGTGCACCTATGTTCACATTCAAAGTCCACTGGTGGTGATTGTGGTCAGATTTGGTCATATCACATCTCAATGTGTCCCCTTTTCCACGAAGCTAAACGTTGGGCCGTATACCCGCGGGTTTTTCTCAGCTATAGTACGGTAACCCGGTGGGAAAATGAAGTTTCATGTTGGTCCTTGCAATTTCCTAGGTGCTTCCATCCGAAAACTGATTTCGGTGAACAGTGATGTGGTCGTTCCGATTTTAGCTAATGGGTATGAGCCGAGCGTCTTTTGCGCACATACACATTAGGACCATCAGTTACTCTCATTTCACATGCTAGAATGTGTAGAGAACCGTAGAAAGGGGTTTTCATCTATGCGTTTGAGTCATCGCAACATGCGGTTTGTCGACTGTATGTTATTGTTGCATGCTTCAACTGCTAATGTGGCTACCCCGTCGAGTGCATTGATTGTCGCTTATAGCATACAGGACCTGCACGACGTGAGTCAGCGCATGGCAATAGAAGCAGCAGGTGAAGGTGAAAATGCTACCAGAGAATACAACTCCAGAGGTGCAAAACAATGAAGGAGACTTACTCGCTCTAAGATAGTCTTTGATGAGGAAGTAGTCTTCTATCCGCCCGACAATGCTCGCTTGATTTCCTGGCTGTGGCCTTTGTGGGTATACAATACCTGTTACCCATCAAGTCGGACAAATTCGATTGAGCACCAGGCTCTTTATAAGGCAAAGATTGAATTCAAAAAGTTAAAAGTCGGTTTTATGAACTTCACTGATGTAGTTGGGGAGAGGAGCTTAATCCACGTCCATATTCGATCACCGACTGCATCCAAACGGGGATATTCCATTTACTGTTAGGATTAACATACTCTGAAATTTTGAATGCTGTTTTTCATACCAAAGGTACATTTCTGTTCGATTGACGATCCGGCTTGTGGTGATTAACGTCCATTAGTGTCTGCTCGAGTTCCATGGAGTGAGTCCAGGTACAAACAATACAGCAGCTCACTGATGTTTCTGTGCAAATGAGCAACTGGAGCTCTGTGATCGCTAACACTCGTCGGTATGTGCCAACAAACCATAGAATTAAAAATCCCAAACTGGCGAATCACGTCGGAAAATGATGCTTTGAGGTTTAGTTTTGGGTGTTGCCGACAATCTCTGATTCTGGAAGAACTGGATGAGTTGCAGGCGTGTCTCTGAAGCTGGTAAAGCATGTAAACAGCGACGGTAGCTAGGGGTTTATGTACTTTCTGTTGATCAAATCATATTTTGACAATTAGGAGCACTTGACAGGCAATGTAGCAACCACAACGCCCATTGCACTTCTCTAATCTCGATAAGAGGAATTCTCATGTGCTGCCAACTGATTACATCTACAAGATGGTTGAACCGAGGGAAACCTACCAATCGAATACTCGATAATGAGGTGGTTTTGTGTTGACACTCTGGACAAATGGATGCATCCCATTTGCAAGCGAATTTGACGCTGATCTTTGGGATTGCTGTCAACTCTCCGGAAGTAGCTTTGGCCAACTTTGTTCACCATCGACGACGACAGTATAACAGTAATATATCAAAGCATCACTTGCTGACTGTCGGTTCACGGCTGGCGGGTAAAACCATGACGTTGCTTTAATCGATGCTGTATAGACGTTTGAGTACCACCGGAGCCGTTATTCCCTCTTGATTAAAGTCGTCCCATCGACCAGCGTCCTGCAATTGTGTTTATGTAGTATTTTGGTCTCCGCTGACTTGGCTGACCTTATGGTGGCCCAGTGTCTGAAATACGGTAGAGTCCACAGTGACCCCTTACAGAATCATATTTAGTACCGCAATATGAAGACTAGACATTTCGAACTTGGCTTCTAATAAGGGTCATGTTATCGTCCTCTCTAGTATGACGTTGAAACTTGACGGAACGGGACGCATCAGGATTCGGTCGTACTTTAGAAGGCAAATAGCAGGCGGCCTTCACATCCAAATCGCTGTAGTAGATTCAGAATCCTAGTCTTCAAGGACGTAAAACATAGCGTGCTATAGGTCGGTATGACATTTACCACGCGATTGGTTCTGGTCACGATAATCTATTCGGCGGGAGATTTCATGCGGCCGGGTCATTGTAACGACGTGGATGGTGTACAAATTAAATTTTAAAAGCGTACCTGTATCCACTTTGCTCATTTATTCAGTTAACTCTGACCATGTAGAAGTGCTTCTGGCTTCAACTGCGGTTGAGTAGCTTTTGCGGGCTACAGAACAGTCAGCAGTTGAGGCACGAGCGTCCATGGTTCGAACTCATCGCGGCATCTTGACCACGACAACCTGACGATTTCTCAGTTCTCGTGCTTCCGGATGTCATGCTAACAATGTACCCGAAGGTTTTTACAGCCTAACGACCATCATGAGTCGAATTTCCTGCGAAGATTTCTTCTTGTGCGTGAAGTTACACTATGTTGCAACTCCGAGAAGTGTTTAGTCATTGCAGACCTCACCAAACACCAGGGAGGCTCGAAGCTGTGATTGAGGGATGAGTAACGCTATATCCTGACTAAGTGCGAACTAACCACTCTGTTAATCAGCAGATCATGACCGAACGGTTAGGTGCCTAAAATACTTCTCTGGAAGTTTGAAGTTAGAAACTCCCTGGGATATTGTGGGATGCGCGCTGCTGATTATTCCTAATAAGGACGAAATAGCTGTACAATGCTTCTCGGTTTTTCAACCAACACTCTCTGGAGGTTTGAAGTTGGAAACTCCCTGGGATATCGTGGGATGCGCGCTGCTGATTATTCCTAATAAGGACGAAATAGCTGTACAATGCTTCTCGGTTTTTCAACACATTGTTTCCACTTACTGAACAAAATCTCCATTGAAATTTTCATCTCTTCATTAAAAAAACTTCATTGGGCACAACGCACTGAGATGACCTGCTTTCC